CAGAGATAATCACAGTTATCCTCATCCAATCAGTCCTATTTCTTCTGTGTTAACATATCTCCTGCAATAGAATGAAGGACCCCTGAAAGTAGCTTAACCTACCGTACTTTCCATTTACTTTTCCATAAAGTCACAGGAAGAGTCTGAACATTCATAGTAAAAACATATACATTTTATTTGATGTGAAATGTGATTAAAACATCAGTAAATGTTTAATATGTCAGATGCTTCTAGAAGAGAAAGGACAAGTTATTCACTTCTTACATGTCTTTTTGAAAGCTGTAAATTGTAAGTTCAGGAACTTTATTTCTTCAACAAAATTTAACTGTCTCACCAGGGGTGGACTGGGACAAAAAACTCGGCCCTGGCATTTTGGACTAGACTGGCCCACCACCTTTTTTTTTTTTTTTGGTGTACTGAATGTGTATACCAACTATGCAATACCTTGAGGCCAGGTTCATGAAAATATAATAAATCTTAATTTATTAACACAGAGAGAGAGAGAACCTGAGTGAGCGAGAGGGGGAGAGAGCGCACCCGAGCGAGCGAGATAGACAGAGCACCTGAGCAAAAAAAAAATTTTGGGCAATTTATTTTATAAAAACATGGACGCAGATAATTAATGCAAGCATGTGAGCAAATATTTTATGGCACATATTTATTATAAAGCATCATAAATAAATTGTACTATAAGATTGTTATTTTCTGCATTATGAAATATCTACCTAAACCAAACTGAATTGAATTGGCCCTCTTGTGAACTTCACTGTATATCTCTAATCCACTACTGATGAAGGCACAATTTATCTTCATTAAGCATCTCCCTGAAATGAATTTTTGGAACTTGGGATGTCTGCGGTTGTAGTGGAGGCGACGGCGAACCGAGCGGTGAACATGTCAGTGCAGCTGAGGAGAGACATGGCATGAGAGCAGAGAGCAGGAGGAAATGGATTACTTTGCATGTCCTGATCCGTGACTTTTACAAAACTTTTTGAATCACCACCCACAACAAAGCACAAAAAATCCAGTTGTGCAAAAGCTATTTACCACTAAAAATGCAACCAATAGGAGGTGGCTCACATATTGTGAGAAAAGTCATGCTTTATTTTGTTTTGTATGTATTGCATTTGGAAAGACCACTGACACAAGCTCATTTATTACTGGGATGTCTGATTGTAGGCATGTGCACCAGCGGACAGATGAGCATGAGAAGAGTAGCGTAATTTGTGTGGTTGACTGTGACTTCTCTCTCTCCTTCTCTCTCCTTCTCTCGCTCTCTCTCCCGCTCTCTCTCTCCCTGATCTAAGAATTGTTGCTGTGCTGTGGTGGAGTTTACATTTTACAGTGTCAATAAATTAAGATTTTGGACGTATTTTAAGTGTCCACTCTCACTAATTTCCATGAACCTGGCCCCAAGGTATTGCACAGTTGGTATACACATTCAGTACACCAAAAAGTAAAAAAATGTGGTGGGCCAGTCTAGTCCAAAATGCCAAGGCCGATTTTTTTTGTCCCAGTCCACCCCTGGTGCCAATTCACAACACATGTCATCTCAAGGCACTTTACAGTTAACCAGATCTTACAGTCAGATTGATTCAAAGTTTTCTATCTAAGGAAAACCAGTTGATTACATCGACTCATTGACTCGAAGGCAATCCCTCACACTTAGCATGCTTGTAGCAATAGTGGAGAGGAACATATCCTTTTTAACAGGAAGAAACCTCCAGCAGAACCGGGATCAGTGTGAGCGTCCATCTGCTGAGGCCGACTGGGGTTCAAGGAGAGAGAAGCAGAGATACAAAAAGCAACTGTGAAAGGTGGCCCAGTCCAGGAAACACACAGCCAGGCAGACGAGCTCTGAGCCAGCTCCCATGTCAGAGGATGAAGAGAGCACATCCAGCTAGTCACAGTCAGAGAAACAGGACTACACTGAACAACAGGCAGATCTCGAACACCTAAAAATCTTACTCAATTGCAATTAAAAGTTACTTGATCAACCATCTATTTATACCTTTATAGGTCACTCAGTGAAATACTTTGAACATCAACATTTCAAGCCAATAGTGTTACTGGAATCCAGGACAAGACCTAATTATATTTCTAATTTTCAGTGTAATTTTAAAGAACCTTGATTAGAACCACTCCGCTACCAATTATATACCATCTGTAATGAACTTCAGCATAAATAATGCCACAAAAAATGAGGAAAGTTATTTTTATTACTTCTACTAAAAAATGAAAACAAGTGTGTCTTGTTTCTCATATTTTCTCTATGAAATAGAAGTTTAAGGTTGAAACTATAATCACAAAGAAATGGAGAACTCCTACTGAACAACTTCACATTCAAACTAACGCTTTCATAAAATTACAAACTACAAATTATAACTGCCCTGAGTTTCTCACATTTGTTGAACATCATGCAAATTTCTAAATCAGTGTTGTCCTAATTCAGTTCTAGCGGCTGTTATCTGCCATGTTGAAATTGCATTTCTAGAAAAACAGCGAGAGTGGATTACAAAGCTAAGCTGAGCCAAAGGTAACCAGTAACTAGGAGGTTCATAGAAATTTATTGGAGTAGAAAGAAAAAAATATTTAACTCTGAAATGTAGTGAAGGGAAACTTCTAAAAGCCCTCCAAAAATATGACTCAAGTAAAGATACTCAAAAAAAGTACTAGGGCAAGTTACAGTTTTTGATCACTAGCATTCCCTGTACAAATGGAGCCCCCCTGTCCCTCAGTAAGGTCTAGAAGCACAAGATCTATATCCAGTCATTCAGCAAAGATTCTGCTACATGGCTGGCTGTACTTTTTACTTTGGCATTTGACCAATTAGATGAGCCGTTGAATAATATTTTACCTACTGTAAATTAAGGTGGGGGAAAAAATTAACAAGTCAAGAAAAAAGGTAAAAACCTAATTGAAAAGTTTAAAAGTAAAGTTAAAAAGTTAATACGCCTAGTTAGTAATGATATTTGGGTTTATCAACTAAAAAATGTAGGTGCCAGTATCAGCATTAATGCATCTAAGGGCATGTTGCACAAAAAAAAAAAGTTTTTCTTTCACTCTTAAGAGTATTTTCATGAATTTCTTATAGAAGCACTTTTGTTATTTTCAGGCAAGTTGTTTTTTCTTATTACATTGACATTCATTTTTGCCATCGCAATATCCATATTTTTTTTTAATGTTACAAAGGTAATAAGGTATAGTCCTAGATTCCAGTAACACTATTGGCTTGAAATGTCTGTTTTCAAAGTATTTCACTGAATGACCTATAAAGGGATCAATACAGTAAACAACTAGCGGCGGTATATTTACTTTGTTACTTTAAACCACTGAGTTTCATAGAGGGTTTGAAGTTCTGAGTTCGAGCTACACTCCCACGGACTGCCACTCTGGCTCCTTCTTAGCCCCACTCTGCCAAATGCAGGGTTAATTTCATTGTACTTGTGACGGTGCAATGATAATAAAGATTAATTCTATTCTAATACTTTGACTAGGCTAACTGATCCTGGGAATCTACTTTAATTTCAAGCAGTTCTCCTGAAAGCTGAACTTCTCTCCCAATCTCTACATAAACTGCCTCCATCAGGTTTTCTTCTAATGCAGCCATGTCTTTTCCTTAATGGGTGGTGCTTTTACTCACAGCAGCTGGGATTACAGTAGTAACCCAATGGTTCAATTTAGGATTATTCATCTGACTCACCTGTTTTAATCCAACTGGGGATTTCCCTCTGATTGAAACTTGACATTTCTATGCACTTCATTAAAAAAGAATTGAAATAAATAACTTTTTGACATTAAATTTAAAAGTCCAATAGAAGCAAATGTGGAATGTCAAGCTCTTGGGCACCCCCTGCTGGGCCATCTGTTCATAAACTAATTATAATACAATTCAGAAATGATAAATATTTGCAATCTGAACAACAGCAGTTCTGCTTATGGATTTTAACTTGTGCTCAAAATAACAGTTTATTGGTTTCAAATTTTCTCTTTTCTGCTTTAATAAATTCACTTCATGGGAAGGTTTTAGCTATGCCATGGGAGATCATCTTGTATTTCCCCCCAAAAATGAGCATCAGAGAACATCCAACCTATCTGGAAAAGCAGATGTTACATTTTATTCACAGATTTAAATGCACATTTTACAATCATTGTGAAAATATCTGAAACCAGCCGACTGAGTTCTCCCTCCTGCGGTCTGCATCTTCTCAGCGCGACGCCTGCAAAAGCAGCGTTTGATGCAGGAGGCAACAAAAACGGAAAATCAACTGAAGGATGCGACAATATAAGGAGAGAAAAATAACAAAAACTTTCATCTGTCAACTCGTTTCAATGGACGCAATCAGTAACACAAACAAAAAAGTCTGTTATTCTAATTAGATTAGTTTTCTGCGCCTTTGAGGAAACCTTTAAGGAAATCTGAATATAATTGAACTAAACTAAAGGGCCAACTCATAGTGTTTTTGTTTGGCTCCACTTTTATCTCATTTAACTTTACCAAATCTTCTCTCTCAAAATATATTGAACTTTTCCAGCTCTACAGACTAATTTTTAGACAAAAAAAAAAATAATTAACCATGTATTGCACAACCGATATAAAAAAAAAACAAAAAACAAAAACAAATACAGGTTATTTTTTTAGTTACTGTTCTGTGTTGTTAGCAAATGAGTGTTTATATACAGCAACAAAGAAAACTTATAAACACTAAAGTGATAGTTAAAGCAGGATCGCTATCCGCTCTGATCCGTTCCCTCCTGCCTTGCACACACCTCTTTTTATACACTTGATGCATGTGTGTATATCTACCAACAATAATATGAGCACACATACGTATTGTCTTCAGTTTTAGAGGCACTCTCCCTATAGTTCAGTTAGGTGGTGTTAGTGATCCAAGTTGTCTAGCTATCAGGGGGGGAATAATAAAAAAACAACAACAAAAAAAAAAAAACAGCCATCCTTTGGAAACTCCTCGGAAGACATCGTAAAAGCTGTTTTAAATCCAGGAAAAAAAAAAAAACTTTCCCTCATCTCCATGGGTTTGCTTTGGGAGTAAAGCTGGCAGGTCTCCCCCACAAAAAAAGTCTGTGCTTTGTTTTCTTTGTCCTCTTCATCTGACGCTCTGCGTTTCTCAGAGTCTCTATAGATGAGGTGAAGTGCAAAGTAGGACTTCTCCTAATTTCCTCAGAGAAAAAAATGAAAAGCCAAAAAAAAGTTGAAATAGAGAACAAGAACGTGTTGCTCAACAGGAAGTCACGAGGGTCATATTTTCTCATCGGTCATCTCCAGGAACTGGGCGTACACGTCTCTGGAGCACTCCCCCTTCTGGTTAAAAAGGAACTTGTAGTAGCTGCCGTCAGCACAGATGGCTGATAAAGGAAGAAGGAGAGAGAGAGAGAAGTCAGCAGCTAATGGAGACTTGGAAACAAAAGCAGGACAAGAACAATCAGATATCTGGGAGGCTGACAGAAAGGAAGGAAATGCTGACGAGATGAGCCGCCTTTCCCGCCCCTCTGTGAGCTTACCTATGACGGCGTTGGGCTCGGTTCCGAAGGCACACAGACAGGGAGAGCCCGATGGCACCTGGAACTTGGAGAAGCTCCACTTGGAGCTGAAGTATTTGGGGAGGAAGCTGGCGGAGGCCAAGCTGCAGAGACAAGATTACAAGGAGTTTAATGGGTTAAAGGTGCACTGAAAAAAAAATTCAGCAATATCCTCTGAGATATTGTTTTTTTTTTTGTCACATTACATAAACAAACCTAGATCAGTTTTTCTTTTCTTTTTCTTTTAAGTAAAATCTAAATGATCAAATTTTTCCTTTAGTTGGACACTATTTCTAATAATTAAGCAGAATGCACAGTGGTGGCTGCATCATGCTGAGTGTATTTAACAGTTTGACACTACTCTGTGTTGGTCATGCATGCAAAGCCCTCATAAAATATATGTACATTTGTAAAAAAAAAAAAAGAAAAAAAAAAGGAATTTCTTCCCCTGCCTGTCAGACAGACCCACCTCGACTGTTTGTTCCTTTTGGGATCTTCGGCGGCAAAGATGTGAACCGTGCCGTGATCGCTGGATACGCAGATCAGGGATGCATCCTGGTTAAAGTTGATGCTGAACAGAAAAAACATAAATAAATAAAAGTCAGCTCTAAACTTTGATGATGCATCTCAGATATAGAAATGCTGGGATATTTCAGATTTTAGAGATTAGGAAGGAGCCAGGTTACTCTGTAGCTTAGGCTAATTCATTCATTATAACTCATGATTATATCAGTTTTTAAACTTGATCTCATCGTTTTCCTGTTTAATATATATTCAAAATAAAATGCACAAACTCCACTAACCAGAGAGGACTATGAGCATAATTCAACATTTGATCATCCCTTTGAGCAGAGGAGCCTTTTTATCCTCACCAGTAAATGTTGGCCGTCTGGGATCCTCTCCTCAGCTCCTGGATCAGTTGCCCGGCAGACGTGTCAAAGATTCTGATCAGCGTCCCCTGTGGAAATGTGACAGGAGTAAGTCAGAGTTCAGGGTGGGGTGATGCTACAGCCAGCAAGCTCCTCCATACTTTTTCTGATGCTGTGGCTATTCTGGTTCCCTGCAGGTTGAGTGCAATGCAGCACAGCGCCCCCTCATGAGCGGGGATGTCGACAGGTGGCTTTTCAGTGTTGGCCAGGTCCACTATCTGCACGTGGCCCGAATGCGTTCCCGGGAACGCCAGCAGAGAGTTGTTGCTGTTTGGACACAGCACACATAGACCTGGAGCAGGCAGAAGGGGTTAATGTAAAAAAAAAAAAAAAATCTTTTCTGGATTGGCTTAAACCACCAGAACTGTTCTGATGATTAACAAGTCAGATGATCTGGAGTCTGTAAGTTTATGGGAGTTGGAACCGACCTTTGGGGTTATAGCAGGTCTCAAACACGTGCAGCTGATGAGGGTTGTGTGTAAAGGTGAACACTTTGATCATGGAGTCTAGGACCACTACGATCCTGAAAGAAAAAAACAAAAAAACACAACCCGCTCATGAGCAGCATAGCTAGGATCAGTCAAATCTTCCTGATTTCCCATGGTAAACACAAACATGGCTCCCTTTGGGCCACCTTACCTGTCACGCCGAAGCTTCACTGCTTTCACTTCTGTGGAGAACTCGATCTCAATCACCGTTTTCTTCTTCAGGTCGTCCCAGATCATCACTGGGACATCACAACGCGTAGAAATGTTAATTACGATTACAATTAGATCTAATGAAATCACACAGTGGAGATGGACAATTACCTAAATCATCTTTAAATATCTATCTCCTAAAATCCCCCCTCAATCTGTCAAAAAATTGAAAACACACCTTTGTTGGTCGGATACTTTGGTTTCTTCCCTCCTCCCACTAGTGCCAGGTAGTTACACCTGAACAGCATCTCCACATGGCCGACTCCTCCCTCTAGGAACTCTGAAACACAAAGGGCTATTTTCCATAATCTCAAAAACAGATCTGTGCGTAGAAATGAGAGCTACAGTAGTTGTTACGACAGAAAAGTTGCAGTGTGACGTGAAGTCTTAAAAAATAAAATAAAATAAAAAGGCCTTGAAAGACAACTTTTTAGAGAACTTAACATCCAGGGTCACGTGTTTGCAAGGAGGCTTCCTCAAATTTAAGAGGTTATATTCCAGTAAAAATGTAATAAATGTCAACGCTGCGTACAATCTGAAACGCCAAACAAGCATTTTGCATGATTGAGCAGGATGCATAAAAAAAATGTTGATCTGTTAACTGTCTGGTTACCTTGTTTCTCCTTCTCTTTGAGAGGATCTGTGTTGTAGACACGGAATCCATTCTCCATTCCACAAGCAAAGCATCCTGGACATAAACAGAAAGATCCCCCCAAAAAATGAACATTTTAGAGTCTTTCCCACTTAATCAGGTTAACAGGAAGAAATAAAGCAGCTAAAGGAGGAACCCCATATATATCAGATCCTGTTTATTAATGGGAACAAAACCATCAAACTTCATTAGGAATGCATAGAAAACTAACTGTTTTTTAAGTTAGTTAAAAAAGATCACTGGTCTGGGTGGAGTTATTATTTTTATTCTTTTAATTTTAGGTATATCAAAGTGTCACACTTTAACAAACGGTTCAAAAGAATACATTAAATTAAACATTACGGCCTGTTCTGTGCCTCTGGAGGTGGGTGGTGGAAATGAATACGTGGGTGTCAGAGAAAACACGTCTTTAACATATTTCTTTTCTAAAAACAACCAATAACATATAAAAGAAACAAATTACTGTGTGGAAATTAAGAAAATCCCAGTGCTAACGTTGAGATAGCCGTTAGCCGCTATGTTAAAAGGAATTCCAGCTAGCTGTAGCATCTATGCTAAGTTAGCATCCAGGATATTAATAACCAAATTTCCTAAATAATGTTTAAATATATTTGACAGCTAAAGGGATTTGTAAACTATGTTCTTTTATTTTAACGAGAATGGTGTTTAGCTATAAACAAAGGTGGTAGCTATATTTTTTTGGTTGGCTAAATTCCAGTGGGGAAGCTAATGCTAACATTAATTTACCTGACAGTTCAAAGGTAACATGAAGCTTTTAGCACATACTAGTTTTAACTGAAAACTTAATGCTGGATTTTGGTTACGATGACCTGGTGCCACGTTTACAAATTAGCCAGGAAACGAGCTCTTGTTGTATGATGTTCCTCAACTGTATATATGACAGAGGGTGGAAAATATAATAAAGAGCATTAGGAGTCTGTTTCTTACCATGATCCTGGTTAAATCCAGCATAAAGAAGCCCATTCCCGTGTGGATTTGATGGTAGTAAATTCATGGTTGAGACAAAATATCCAGCGGCGTTAAACGAGCAAACCCAACTGTTTTTGACCGTTAGCTAGCTGGCTACCATTCTCCTCCTGAGTCGGATTTCTGCTGGAGAGGAGGAGGGCGGGGGGAGCCAACAACAACCCCGGGCTGTCAGGAGCATCGGAGGGAGTTCGCTTGTATCTGGCTGATGCCGTAAACGCATTTGTCTAAGAAGTAAAACTACGTCATCGTTATTAATCACAGTTGAGACAACCAAGACACACTTTCGTTAATTTCTCCAAGTGTAAAGTTAATCAATTTTGATTATATCTGAACACAGTTGGGAAAAACAAGCAATGCAAGACTGGGCGTGTAGTGTTAAACCCCCGTACCACACGGACAAGTGCACAGGCGAACAAGAAATTCACAAAAATACTATCCATGACGGCTGAGGCCGTTATATTATATCGGTGCTCTGTTGCGGTAATGGTGTCACATAGCCCCAGTGGCCTAATGGATAAGGCACTGGCCTCCTAAGCCAGGGATTGTGGGTTCGAGTCCCATCTGGGGTGAAATTCTTTTTTTTTTATTTTTATTTTGGTCTATTCATAGTTTTTAAGATTTATTTACAATATATGTAAAACAAATGAACATTATTGATCACATTGGAGAAATATAACTGCATTTAACCCATTCACTTGGGGAGCATTGGGCTCCCATTGTGGTGCGCAGGGTCTTGCTTAGAGACCCAGAGTGGCAGTGGGGATAAAACTTGGAAACTCCAACCTCTAAGTTCACCATAAGGCCGCCTCTCTCCCAAATTTTTTTTTTAGCCCATATTGTCACAATGGGGGTCTACAAAACCATTTCTGATATTCTGTAAAAGACATTCAAGTACCACACTGCTGATGAATCTATGCTCCATTCATTTTTATATCTTAAATAAGAAAAAAAAAACAAAAAAAAAAAACCCAATCATATTTGAGACCAATGACATTTATTCAAGGAGAAAATCTTAACTTCTAAAGAAATAACATTGTAAATCACATACATAAGTATATGTGGAACTACAGAAAACATGTCTGTAAAAAATACAAGGATACATTTTTTTTTATAGCTCAGTACATTTTTACATTTCTGCTGACGCAAATCTGTGGCAACCACATTTATTATGAACATTACTGAAGGTGTTTAAGTTTTCATGTCTCAAGGCAGCAGCCATACTGCTAGAGAGCTTTAACAACACAAGCATCTTGTTTTTATTTTTCTGGCACATAGCTGAAGCTAAACTAACCTCCTTTATAAGGGACAAGTTAGACAAATCGTTCAACATTTTGTTAGAATTAGCATTGCGTTAATAGAAACTAGGAATGAACAAGTCTCCTGTGTCGTTTAAGGCCGTGCAAACTTGAAAAGCCCTTATTGCAAACTGCGCACACATACGGTCTCTCTCCAGTATGCGTTCGCATGTGTAGAGTAAGAAAACATGACTGGACAAATCCTTTCTCACAGATGGTGCACTTGAATGGTCTTTCCCCAGTATGGTACCTTCTGTGAATCTTCAGTTCTGCTGCCGATCTAAAAGACTTCTCACAGTCGTCGCACTTAAACGGCCTTTCTCCAGTGTGAATCAAAGTGTGCCTGACAAGGGCGTCCTTCCCAAAGAATCCCTTCCCACAATGCTCGCACGGGAAACGCATCCCCTTGTGGTGGAAGTTATCGTGTTTCAGGAGGCACCTTCTAGAGGTAAAGGTCTTCGAACACTGACTGCAGGGGAAGATGGTGACAGGTTTTTCATCCACCGGTTCTCCAGTGTGATGCACGCGCTCAACATGCCTAGTCAGAGTGACGCCATGCCGGAACTTCTTGCCGCACTCCCAGCAAAGGTACGGGTACGCCTTTGTGTGTTTTTTCTGGTGTTCCACGAGGTCGGAGTACGAGCGGAACCTCTTAGAGCAGTGAATGCACTGGAAAGGCTGGTAACCGGTGTGTTTCCACTCGTGTCGGATAAAGCGCTTCAAACTGGAGAAGGTCGTCTGACAGTGCTGGCAGGTGAAAGGCTCGGTGGGGTTGTGCTCGTCGATGTAATGCTTGTGAAGCGCCTTGAACACGGGGAAGTTCTGCTCACACCGGTTACACTGGAACGGTGTGTGGGATTCCTTGTGCATGGCCAGGGCTTCTGAGTCACGGACTAGCTTCATGCACACCTCGCAGTACAGCGGGTTGTGTGTCTGCTTGTGAGAATCTAAGGTTGACTTGTACTTAAAGGCCTTGTCGCATTCGTCGCACCTGAAACAGTGTTTCAAATCATCTGGGGGATTCTCTGGATCCACCTGCTGCTCGGTGTAGCAAATGTTCCTCATATGGAACCTGAATGTTTGTCTGCATTTGAACTCCACCCTGCAGTGGGGACAGTAGAACGGACCTTCCAGGCCACTCTTACTTCCGTCTGGACTTCTCTCTCCTAGCTCCTCGGACAACTTCACAGGAGCAATGTAGTCGGGATCCTGGGTGTCGCTGTCTAGAGGCTGATCATCGTCGAATCCTTCACAAATAACCCCGCTGGTTGACTGTTCACCGATCTCTGCGGCGGTTTGTTCTTCCTGAGAATCCTTGTCAGGGTTTATTTCAGCTGAACCCATACATTTGTGTTGCTGCAAGAAGCGTAAACTTTTATAAAACTTTTTGCACACTGGGCAGGCGATGGGCAGCTCCTCTGTGTGCTGATTCATGTGTCTCTGTAGGAACTTGGCCTGGGTCACCACTTTGCCACACACCTTGCACGTTCTGTCATCCAAGTCGCTGCCCTTGGCTGAACTCTCCGGAACCGAAACGCTGTTGGCGGCACTACCGCCCAACGTCTTGCCGGATTTCCTCCACTGCGACAGGTACCTTTTCATCTTAAGCCCTCGGTTCTTTCTCACCGGTCTCTCCCATGAAGGGTCTGTGTCCATGTCTCCCTTAAAGCCCCTTCCTTTACTTTCCATCTCGTAATCCTGATCGTCGTCTTCCGGGCATTTCCTTCTCCTCCCTCTTCTCTGCGGCTTCTTCTCCGCACCGTCTAGCACCGTCACTTGGCCGTCCTCCCCGATGATCAAAGTCCCGCTCTGCACATCGTGATGGTCTTCCACCATTTCCCCTTCGCTGGCCTCATTTAGATCAGAGACAAGGACACTGTCGCTTTCAGCCTTTACCTCGGCACTGATGCCAAACCACTGCGGCTGGGCGCACTCGAGCGTGCCTCCAGGTACCTCTACGTACATTTCTTTGTTATCAGATTCCACCTCCATCTCTGAGCAAACCGTGTACACAAGACTGCTCCCTGGTTCGGTTTCTGTCTGCTCACTGACGATCACAACTCTTTCCACACGAGGTAGACACAGAGCTGATAAGATACCGCTGTCAACAACGTAAGACTCTACAAAATAAAAACACAATAGATTATTTCAAGTGGAATGTGGTACTGACAGAAATGCTGGGAGTCAAAGGTATACTTACCAACATCGTCAAGCTGGATGAGGTTTTTCTGTGTGTCCAGCAAAGCTCGTAGATCTTCAGGTTGAACTAACGTCTCCATGGATTCATTCAGAATAGAAGTGGTGTCACTCATCATTGCCACAACCTGAATCAAGACAGAAATAAATCATTCAATGTTCTTAAAACTACATTTTACATGCGTCGCCAGATTTCCTCTTTGAGATTAAGTCCATACCTGCTGAAGAGTTTGAGCAGGAAGGAGCTTTTCAAGTCTGGCCAGAAACAGCCACATCAGAGTCTGAATCGCTTTGTCATATGTGGGACCAAAGTCTCCAGGGAAAACATCCTGAAATCCCAACAATTACATTAATTTTTCAAGTTTTCTGGATGAAGACCATAACATAGGGAAAGGGTTGCTTATATTAATTTACCTGGAAAAAGTTCCTCCTTTCCTCTGGATCTCTGAGCAGATTTTGAACAAGGCTGACAAAATGAGAATCAGACACCTCTGCATCAGACTGAAAGCAGAAACACAAGAACGTTATCTCAATTGCTTCCAACATCTTTTGAATGTAGATCTATAGTTTTTGCAAACTGGTAGAAAACATCCATCGCCAAGCTTTTGATCAGAAAGCTTACCTCCGTCTTCCACAGAGACTTGAGGTTCTGCATTCGGTCCAGGTGGGGTTGAATAGCTTGAGGGTCAGCCGTCTCATCAGAACGGCAGAGTTCCAGGATCAGCTGCAATTTAAAAAGCCCAAATAATCAATAAGGAAGTTTACTTAAAGGGGGCTACTTGAAGGCTCTTGCTACTTTATTTGCAGAATGAAGGAGCAGAAACTTTTAGAAATGCAATGATTTCACAGTCGTTTTGAACCCCTAGTTAGCTGCCATCATCTGGCTAAATAGGTATAAACTGCTATTGAGAATCCTAAATTTAAAAGAAAGTGTGTTCATCTTTCACAAATGATACAAGCAATACTGAAGACACAAGGAGCAATTAAAAGATCTGATCTGAGGGGGGAAAATGTATGTGGTTGTGGCAACTTAGGAGCTCATTCAAAATGACTGCACACCATTTCCTGCCACTGTGCCTGCATAGCTCCAACTAACTTAGGCTACGTTCACACTGCATGCCATAGAGCTCAGGTCTAATTTGTTTAGTAGCAATTCTGTAGCAATGCCTGGTGTCTGACAGGAAGTCAGCAAAGTAAAACACAGCTGTTTTGGAGAAAATAAGAAGTAAAATGTCTGAATCACAAGGTAAAGCAGCCAGGTTCACCGTTTTTAGAAAAACAACATGTAAATGACAGCGGAGCAGACTGTCATACATAGTAAAAACATTTAAATAAACTGTTTACACACAATATGAGCTCAGATGGAAATAAAAAGAGTGATAATCTTTGAGCTTAGAAACAAAGTCGCTAAGGTTAAATGTGTGACAGCACTACTTATATCACTCCCCACTTTATGAAAAATTATTAAAAACGTGTAGCTTAACTTCACAAAAGGCTCTCTGAGAAACTCCTTCCCTGCCCTCACCCAGTCATAAACATTTCCATGGCCTTTGTTATAACTCTTTTTCATCCCTTTAAACATAGCTTATATTTTGAATATTAAAGTCCTTTACCTGTTCTATTACGGATGGTTGGTCATGAAGCGGTTCGCTACTTTGACCAACAGCCCTGCAGAGCTCGGTACATCTGCTCCCCCTATGCATAGTACCAGACACACACTGCAGCCAGAGTGGCAACATAAAAGGCAACTTGGAAGGTTTTCTTGGAATTAAGATGCCCTCACAACATATACAGCATAAAAACTAGTGGTGGGCATAGATACATGTTTTTGCCAGAGGACTTCACGGATCAGAAGTACTTAGACCAGGGGCTCATCACCTGTTTCCAAAATATATAAAAAAAACTGCTTGAGAAAGCTTTTATGATAACTGCTGATGACATTAAATACAAATCAATCAGATGTATTTGTGTTTACTAAGTGTTTATTCAGATTCTGAACTGTAGGCCTACATAATAGGTCATGATGAACTGTTTACAGTCAGAAGCTTTGTTTCACTCAGTTAAAGCTCCATTTCTTTTTTCCACCAGTCACTTAGGCAGTCATTGTAATTTCTTTACATTGGTAGTCTGTTCATGCTAAGCTAACATTATGTTCTGGAGGTTGCAGTTATAGGTGTTAACATTGGCACCATTGGAAGAACATTTCACCAGTTGGATATAAAGGAACAAGCATTTCCTGAGTTTTAGTATTGCACAAATAAAAACACTTGCAATTAGATCTTGGCTTCAGCGTGAGTTACATGCCAGCTAATGGGTTACAAAATCAAGGTGAAAGTCATGATTACTAAAGACCCAGCTCCCAACCCAATTTTGAGAATATATATAAAAAAAACCATTGGTTTGAGTTGTTAGACCCAACAGGAAAGGACTTTACATGAGTCAGCCATTATATGTGGACAACTACTACATCAAACACAAATAAAAAATAAGGAAATGAGAAGAACGTTGGAACAAAAATTAACTGTCCAAGCTTTGTGAAGTTTGGGATCAAACACATATCAGAGCAAAGGCTGTTCATCAGAGAAAAGATCAATGTGGTTCTGGGTGAGCTTAGAAAGCTCAGGAGGGCAACCAAGATATTAGGGCTGTTTAACGCTAAACAAAAAAATGTCCAATTCTGAATATTAATTCTTAAAATCAATTCATTAAACAAAAGATCAATAAAAAAAATTTAATAAAAAAAAAGCATCCTTACAATCTCCACAAACAACCATTTCTTTAAAAATATCAATAGAACCAATACATAGCAGAACTTTAGTCATGTAATTTAGACCACACCTAAAAAAATAACAGTCACCTAATTTTAGATCAGACAGAATTGGATTTAAATCTTTAATATCATGACTTAATCAAATCTTGAGGTGTGAATTGATACCCATCTCTAATTAATATACAGAGATACAGTTACAGTGATCTGAAGCAGGTTTCTGGCAGCAGCTATATATTATTATTTTACCTTATTTTACCTCTGTTTGCGGTGCACTTTATATCATAGTGTTATTTCTTTTTGCTTTATTTGTAAATAAATAACATAAAATGCATTAACATCTATGTAAATTTGTTGCCCCACTTTAATAAAAAAAAAAACATTTTTATGTCAAGCCTGATGGGTTAGATCACATGACGAGGTACGTGGTTCATTTATTAAACAGCGGTACCGGATCAATAAGAGCCAATATTTTCAGCCCAAGTATTGGTATTGAATCAGATTGATGCATCTCTAATTTTGGAGCACAGACAAAAAATAAATGTTGGAGAATTTTCACTAACTCAACTGAGCTACAAAACTTGAAAAAAAATCTGTGCCCAACCGGACTAGACTTACCCGTGCTCTGAGGCCCAGAATGAGTTCTGCTCGTTGCCTTGTAGAAAGAAGCTGAGGAACCATCTCTGTGACCATGAACACAAACTCCTCCAGCAGGCCATAGTCAGACACAATCTTTTGCTCCACAGTGTGCCAGATTGCAGCAGACACCAGGCGGATGGGGGACACCAGCAGACGCAGAGCCGCGGTGGGAAGGGTAGGACCTAAAACACAGACACAGTCAAGGAGGGTTTAGAAAAGATGACCGGCTTCAAAAGTTTAGATTTTTGGATAAAAGCAACTACATGGTTTATTAACATTCTTAAAAATGCCCTACATATCTAAAAATGTAACTTTGCTCAAGCTTAAGTCTTTTTTCACTTTTTTAAAGATGAAAACATCTTGCCTTGCAGATTAGCATTTTCTGAAACTAAGATGAAACAACCTTCCTTTCTGCTCCATAAGGATGAAACTGTTTAATCAAAATGCCACTGCAGGCCCCTCAAGACTTGTCCTTGAGATTTTCTCTGCAGTCTCAGACAGACAATGTCTCATTACAACTCTGAAGGTTAAACCTGATGCTCCAGACAATTCTTAACCTCTTTAGTGCGACTATTGAGAAGACAGCATATTACCCCCTGAAGAGCAATTTCAGACTGGCTGCACAGACCGAGTGAGAGATTTCTCAATTTCAGAAAGTGACCCTTCAGTAAGATAAAACACAGCTTCATTTTCACTTTTTTTTGCCTTCAAACACCAGAGCACTAGAACAGATACTACAGGGTTTATGCATGGATGAGTGAATGTAATTTTATGCTTTTTAAAGCTCTTTTAATGCCATCAACAAGTGCCCCCCCCCTCTATATATATATATATATATATATATATATATATATATATATATATATATACACACTGTCATATTTACATACATGATTACATTTAATGAATTTTAATGCCATTCAAGTATTTATTGAATTAATGATTTTTTTAATGACCCACGGAAACCATGTACTAGAATTTTTCTAAATGTTTGGCATCATGTTTTTAACTTCTGTCTTTTCCCGTTTTGTCAATACTTTGCCAGAATAAAATCTTTCATAGCATATAAAAAAATTAGTCCTGCCTTGCTCACAGCCTGCAAAGGTTAGTTAGACTGTGCTCAAGTTAATTAAAACTTCTGCTCCGAGATCTGCTGGCAGCCTAACAAACCATTGATTGTGCCTCAGAGGAGACTTTAGCAGACAGACCAGTTCATTGCAACTACAATAATGTATAAACCAGTTGGTCTGCATTTAGAAAACATAAAAAAAAAACTCTTTGGTTGCTCAGCTGTTTCTGTTAATGGGTATATTTATTACTTTTTCATTATAATGAATGATAAAACCTAAGGACATGTAAAAAGTAATAGTTAAACTAAACACAAAGTCTGATTTCACCAACAAACTATGTTTGAATCTTTCAATACAGTAGATTCGTCTTTGCTGTCAAGACAAACATGTGAAGACAGGCATCCAATAAATGAACCTGGCACCCAAAGTAAGCCATTTTTACTTAAAGAATGTTCTATAGAAAAAGGCCAGATGACTGTTAAAAACAGAACAGCTGGGAATCTTGAGGGAAACAGTCGAGTGTGGAGCCATTTCGTGAAGGATCTAGCAGCTGTTGGACGCAGCATTTGCAGGGTTAAAGTTAGTAAGGGCTCCAGCACCAGCAAGGAAAAAAATACCACAGATTTGAGTCTAAATAATATCTAAATCAGAACCACAAAAATGTATTGCATTTATGTTCTTATGTTGGCACTGCCCAAATTAAAGTTGCTATTTTTAATCCCACAGTTCTATGTTCTTTTTCTTGAATCATATTTTTGGTTGGAATTTCAGTTGGACAGTGCATATCCCGTATATGCCATATATGTACATATATATCTTTACATTCTGGCTGATATATATATATACATACACATACAAACTTCCTAGCTGCCACTAAATTTGCATTATCCTACTCTGTGACTCATTCATCTGATAAACCAAATCCAATTTACCGTTTGTAAGACAAGAAGAGCATTTGACTACTCTAAATTTGCATGGTCATATCAACAAGACAAGCCTCTCTGTGGGTCAGAACAATTGTTTATTGCGCTGCCACACATGCATCAGCAGTAAGATTTCAGAGGATCATCATTAGCTACAACATAATGACGAGGCTTTGAGTTTGTTAAGAGAATAAATTAATATCCTTTTTGAGGGTGTACATAGAGGTCTTCCACTGAAGTTTAAAATTGAAAAATAAACTGATATGATGAGCAAGTCCATGATATTTTGGCCCAGAAAAAGTCTGGCTTACATCAGATTTAAAATAAAATAAAAAATACTTTCAGGGTTTTAAATGTATAATGACCTTTGGACAGAAAACCAAGCCAAATGTTTATTTGATGTTGTTCTGAAAGGCTAAATATTTCCTTAACAAAGCAGCTTAAGTAAGGAAGTCACATAATACAAGGAGTCTTATTCTAGCCACTAAAAGGCCTAGATGTTTATCAAAATTCCCTTTATTGGTTTGTTTTTTGGTGGTTTTGAGAACTTTTTACATGTTTAAGTAAAGCAAAATGAATAACCCCTCAAAGCACCAGACAGAAGTACCTATTGTGTTGGCATCATCTTCATCACGTTTTTAAACTCTTCATAAATTTGGGATGGTGAAATTTAACACTATTATCTTTTGTATATTACGCAGTAGTGGTAGTAAGGTTAATACTTCATATTCACAGGATAAAAGAAAAAAAGTGTCAAGTTATCTTGTTTATATCTGCGTTTTACTGAGCTAATGAAAGTCAACAATTTACGATGACAATGTATCACAAAGACGTAAACCTCAACTTACATTACTAAAATATAAACAACAACTTCGAAACTTAGTTTCGGAAATATTAGAGACAGCTGCAAAAACACGGGAGACATTTCTGTAGCTGGCCTAGCATAACCTAGCCTTAGTTAGCCTAACCGCTTCTTAGCTACCTTTAGCACGAGCTGTTTTATTTCAACTTTACAGCATCGAAGCAGGGGCACAAGAAGGCGGATAAGAAAATATATAACTCCAACGAATCAAATTAATTAAAAAACAATGTTAAAAAACATATATTTTACACGTTTAATACGCTGTTATTCCCGCGCGCGGGGTACGCTGCGGCCTAGATAAACAAATCTGTCAATTAGTTTTTTTTTTACAAACCGGGTAACGCAGAACTTCCTCCGTCCATCGTTGACACTCACTGTAATAACATTACAGTACGTAGATCTGCCGTTTGGGAATCTTCCGTAGTCAAAGGGATTTCTTTATCACCGGCTCTATTCGATACCAAAAGACTTTCAGGCGCTAACTCTGCGTCAGTGGTCGCTTTACGTTCCGTTTGAAAACACCGTCCGGGCTGAAAGCTACTTCGTTACGTTCCGTTCCGCTTTGTGGCGACCTTTTGAATGACCTATTTTTCTTATGAAGGAATAGCCGCTTAGATAGAATAAAAACTAGAATAAGAGTATGGTAAACGTTTTACCTCCAAATATAAAATATATAAGGTATTTGAAATGTTGCAGAACAATATATCCAAAAACCAAATGTTAAACCAAATAAAACATTTATATGAAATAAGCATTTCCACTTAATACGACAGAACAGAAGACACTGCTACCAGGTTCATTTAAATGGTGCATTAATGGTTTTACACACCTTGGTATTAATATTAGTTACTCATATGATCAAATTTACCGAAAGAATTACACTTCATTAATTAATAAAACCAAAGCAGAGCTGGATGGATGTATGGATCTCCCACTATCTTTGATTGGCAGAGTTAACTCAAACAAAATGACTATACTACCTAAATTTATTTACTTATTCCAATGTGTCCCCTTAAAAGTCCCAATATTTTTTTTAAAGATTTGGATCAAGCAATATCTCGATTTTTATGGTGAAAGAAGGTCCCATGAGTTAAACTTATTTCTTTACAGGCTCCCTATACTAAAGGCGGATTCAATCTTGCTGATGAAGATTCTCAGTCATCCAGGTCATAGTCATTCTGTAAAAGTTTAGAAGAGGCTTCCTGGAGAGGGAGCGAAACGTCTTCAAACCTTGAAAACCAAGTACAGTGGATGGTTTTTTGTAAACTTTTACAGAACGGATTCAATCTTCCAAAATTCAGAATGTATTACCTAGCTTCCCGGTCTCGTACACTATGGATGTGGATTTATTCAAATAGCAATGATGCAAGGTGGGTCTCGAAAAAACAAAAACTGAAATCCATGACACTGGCAATCATCCCTTTCTTCGGTTAAAAAAAGCAGCTCTCTACAATTACATCAAATCATTTAATCTTAGCTGCCTACAATGCATGGCTTCAGTTACACACTCTTTTAAACCTAAACATACAATTGTTGATTAACACACCACTTGAAGATAACCCCAGCATTCCTCAGCCTATAGCAGATGGTATACTACAAACCTGGGTCAGAAAAGGCAGAACAGTTGGCAATCTTTATACCAATAATGTCTTTGCCAGCTTCAGTCAATTATCTGAAGTTTATGACTTGCATAGGCAGATCAGACACTGGATTAAGAGTCAAACATTGGAGATATTTCCTAATAAACCAGAGGAAACCCTGCTTGAATCATGTTTATTAGATTCCAAACGTACCACTACAAAAGGACTTATTTCTTGTGTTTACAAAATTGTTTTTTACGATTCACCAGCATATGACAAGTACTCGAAAAAATTGAAATGGGAATTGGACTTAAACTCCAACTATGATGACAAAAGCTGGGGCAGATTACTAAACTCATCTCAAACAATATTAATATCAACAAAACATAGGCAAATTCAATTTAATATTTTTCACCGCATATACCCCATATACCGTAGGTTGAATAAGCTAAATGCCGGTATCACTGAAATGCCAGAGGTTTAGGACGTCTGTAGGAGATTTTCTTCAAATCTTTTGGAATTGTGTTCGTTTTCTTATATTTGAAAAACCTCTTGACCTCGTATGGATTTCTGGGTTTCCAGTCAGCTATCAGACGGTGATTAACTGCTTGTCCATCGAGGGGCTGGTGGTCATTTGGCGAGATGTAGGGTAAAGTCTCTTTGGGGCTAAAAAAAAAATTATAATACAACAGAATAACAACTGTTATAATTAATGCGATTTCTAACTCAAACGTACAGTGAAAATGGTAAAAGTGTCTCTCTATATTCATTTTTCTTATGAAATTTGGATATCCAGCCCACATAGAAATATATTTTGGGATATATAAATAATATATATAATTTTGCCAACATCTGAAAAAGCAAAGAAAGTAAGGAGTTTAAAGCTGAATTGTATTTACAAGATCCAGGTTAGACAACTGTTTCTCTAGGAAACTTATGAAAACATTTATGTTTGGTCATTCCTATATTTTAACCTCTATAAATTGAATTTCTTTCAAAATCTGCACTTTTTTATCACGTATTTTGACAGTAAAAGCACAAGAGTAAAAGTAAAAAAAAAAGGAAAAACAGAACAAACCAGACAGTCCTTCGTTGCTTTATTAGTTTTACAAGTTTTCTACTGATATAAAAAGGAGAAGAAAAAAAATTTAGAATTTTAATTTTTAAGGTCCTTCCAGTCTATTCCTGTGGTTGAATACACAAATGTCTCCAATCCACTGAGGGTTTCTTCAATGTCACTAATCTGCCACAGATGGGTGAAGAAGCCTTTTATGTCTCAGCATGCTAAAAGACTTGAGGAAAGCCTTCCCACAGATGTGGCAAACAAATGGCCTCTCTTTGGAGTGGATTTTTGCGTGTGCGTTGAGATCGCAGAGTCGTACAAACCCCTTTCCACAGACATCACATCTGTAAGGACGCTCATCGGTGTGGTGTAGAAGGACGTGCCTTTTCAGCTCAGAAGCCGTTCGGAAGCTGCGGCCGCATTCAGGGGCGATGCATTTAAAGGGACTCTGCCCCGTATGCATCACTTTGTGCCTTGCCAAAGTTGACGGAGCCACCATCTTCCCACAGAAGGGGCACTGTTTGCGGAACAGCTGATGTAAGTGTTTGGTCTTCTGATGAACTTTCAGGGACGACTTTTCTTTGAAGCTCTTGTCGCACTGGGAACAGGTATATCGCTTCTCATTTCTAGAAGCACTGTGGATGAGTCTTTGGTGTCGGTACAGGTTGGATCTGTGGTTGAAAGTCCTGCCACAGTCGGAGCACAAGCACGGTTTCTCCTGCTTGTGGACCTTCTCATGGGACACCAGGTATGAGAAGGATTTGAACTTCAAGCTGCACTGCGCACACTGAAAGGGCAGACGACCCGTGTGCTGCCATTCGTGGCGGATTAAAGCGTTGAGCTTAGGTGAAATCTTTGGACAGTGATTGCATTTAAAGGGCCTGCCGATTTGGTGGCCGTTTTCATAATGCCCAACCAAGCGCTTGAAAATTGTGAAGGTCTGGTCACAGCGAGTGCACTGAAACGGCGTGTGGGCGGTTTTGTGGCGGGCTAAAGTCGCAGCGTCTCGCAGGACCGTCCGGCACACAGTGCAGTACAGCTCATGGTGGGTCAGCATGTGCTTCTGCAAGGACACCTTGTACTGAAATGTATCTCTGCATTTGTCGCAGCTGAAAAGGTCCTGAGTTTCCTCCGGCTTGTCGGGATCTACGTTCTTTAGGTTGTACTCGAAGCAGGTCTTTTTCAAGTGCCTCTCCAGCGAGGAGAGGAGTTGAAACTTGGTGTTGCACTGAGGGCAAGCGTAGTCATTGTTGGGAAAGTGGCTTTTTATGTGAGCATTTAGCTTTTTGTTTACCTGCTGTTTGCAGATAAAACACAGGAAATTACGAGTCTTCTTCGGAGTGTTGGCTTTCGTATTGGAGCATTTGGGCTTTTGGGGTGGAGCTAATGTATTTTTAGAGGCGTCATTATTAGAGCAGCTAGAAACTGAATCGCTTTCATCGGCACTGCTGATATGCTCTGCAAACGAAGAACGATCGTCTGAGTAGTAAGACCAGGAATCTGCCTCACTGAAACTGGGATCGTCTTGCCGAGAGTCCTCTGAGTAGTAAGACCAGGAATCATCCTCACTGCATGTGGCTGCAGGAGGCTTTTGTAAAGACAATTTGTTGGTGCTTTTAGAATCTTTCCTATCAGACACTGTAGTGGTAGTTTTGCTCAACTGCACCATTTTCCTGGAAGGAGGGGTTTTAGCCGGCTGGGTCTCATCCTGTAGCTCCTTTTTCTCCTCCTCAAGAATCTTCTTCATTAACAGACCCCTGTTGGCCCTCACAGGTCGAGAATTTGTGGAGGCAGGTTTCTCAACTTCTTTTATCGCAACTTTACGCTTCTTTAGAACACGAGACAAAGCCTTCCCTTGACCTAGGATGTCATCCACATTCTTTGTAATTTGTGTTGTACTTTCCTTAAGGGTTAAATCAGTTAATTCTATTAATGGACCTGAAGCTGCAGCAGGATTTATCTGTGATCCATCAACTACAGAGTCTACTCCCACAGGTGATGGACAGGATGAAAAATCTTCAGAAATACTGATTTTGTCTTGTCTTTCTAAAGGCTTGCCTGTTTCTGGATGAGGAAGTTTGAGGGCAGAGATGATGCAGGTACCATCAAGAGAAATATCTGGGAAAGAGAAGAAAAAGATGAACAACTGAATAGAATAAATTAATAAGGATAAACTTAATCAAGGATCAAGGTTAGTAACAATGTAAAGACCAAAACATACACACAGTGATCCACAAATCATTCACTTCCTGTATATTCCACATATTTATTCCATGAGACAGACACCCCGTCTACTTTTAAGGGTATGCTTAATTTCCTTTTTAATAAAACTTATAGTTAGTATCTTCATCTGTTCTGTTCCTGTTTGGCTGCGACACCATCCTGGAGAGAAATATTAGCTGTGCTGCTGCCATCAACGCCTATGTTCATAGATGTTGGAGCTCGAACTGTTTTTCAGTCTAGTGACTTCTGTCCTTCTTTTTGTGCTTCTTTTTTATGTCTGCTTCTGTCTCCTTGAACCCCAGTCAGCCTCGGCAGATGGCCGCTCACACTGAGCCTGGTTCTGCAGGAAGTTTCCTCCTGTTAAAATGGAGTTTTTCCTCTCCTCTGTCGCTACAAGCATGCTTAGTGTGAGGGATTGCTTTCAAGTCAATGAGTCAATGCAATCAACTGGTTTTCCTTAGATAGAAAACTTTGAATCAATCTGACTGGATGATCTGGTTGACTTGTCTCTGTAAAGTGCCTTGAGATGACATGTGTTGTGAATTGGGGCTATATAAACAAACTGAATTCCAATTCAGAATCACCATCCAGGTATTCTGCATCCTGAAAACAGAATTGCTCTAAATCAGTTTCTAGTCTCCCAACAAACAATGCAAACCACCCTGAAGACAACTCAGAGGTGTTCACCCAAGTAGCAGTCCTGATTTAACGACCAGAATGGCACATATTGCTTCGCATTGGGTCAGGCTGTGGCAAAGCCCAGAAGAGACTTAGGTTATGTAATAGTTTTACATTTATCAGTAATACATCTTTTCTTAGGCCTCTGATTATTGACTAACCATTGTTATCCAGCTGGCTAAGGTCCTCATGATATTCCAGAAGGAGTTTAAGCTCGTTGCACTGAGACACAGACTGCACACATTCGGCTAACACAGAGGAAACCTCCCCGAACATGGATGAAACCTGCAAATAATTAAAAAAGTAAAGATTAGATGGTCATTCTTAATAAAAAATTAAATAAAGATCATACAAAAATAGGGATTCCTTAATAAATACCTGATGGAAGGTATGAACAGGAAGGACATTTTCAAGTCTTGACAAAAACAGCCACATCAGTGCATGAATGGCTTCATCATATGTTGCACCAAAATCTTCATGGAAAACCCTCTGAAAATTAGAAAATATATATATATTATTCAAAAACAAAGATAGAGGAGTAAACACATTTCCTTATGAATTAAAAATTCTAACACTGCTTGCTATAAACAGTAGATGGCTGTCTTTAATAGGCCTTAATGGATTATTTAATAGACTACTGAAACGATAATGATCACAGCATAGAGTCATAAAAAAATCAAAACATAAACACTAACCTGAAAGAAGTGTTCCCTCTCATCAGGGCTTTCCAGCAACTTCTTAACTAGATTAACAAAGTCTAGATGAGACACTTCTAGAGTTGAACCAGCAGTCTGAAAGACAAGCATGATACATCCCACAAATTAATAAAAGCTATTTACTGGGAAATGAAGAACAACGAATGAATGAAAGAAATATTTCCCTTTCAGGAAGCAGTTTAATAAACATGTAACTATAATCTACCACATTAAAAAAAATACAAGTCTGGTTAGTTAGATTATGGACAACATGTGACGTCAGGGAATACATCTGGGATTGCAGCACCAAAGGGCTGGTGTCTATAAGTTCAGGCACTTTCTTAAGCGTTGTGTCACAGGGAACTGCCCTTTATTTGTCTCAGCATTGTGTTGTAATTAGGGCTGCAACAAACGATTATTTTTCAAATCGATTCATCCCTTGATTATTTTTTTCGATTAATCAATTTATAATCGGATAGCTGAAGATTCATTAAAAAATACCTTTTTTTTTAAATTTTAAATACCTGTGGAGTTCTGGATAGAGCCTATTAACAGGCATTTTTTTGATATCTTAAATGGAAAATGTTTATATATTTTTACAATCTTGGTATAATTGCTGCTATAAGTGGTTCGCTCAGTCAGTTAAAGGTTTTTTTTAGAGTCTCTATACTCTAGTTAAGGATTAATCGATTACTAAATTAGTTGACGATTATTTCAATAATCGATTAATCAGGATTAGTCCGATTAATGATTTCAGCCCTAGTTGTAATCCTAAAATAGGCTGTCAAAATGCAGTCTGGGATTAAAGTACAAGAAAAGGTGCATGCATAATACAATCTGCTAACATGTTATGTAGTCTTGTTTTAGAATTATGCCACACTCACTGTAGTTCTGTACTATCCCCTGGTGAGTTCCTGTTGGTTACAGGTTTTAACTATACTCTGAGATGTTTTATCAATGTTAAACGTGTACCTACCTCACAAGATCATGTAAATAATGACAGAAATTATGTGAAAGGAGCTTTAGTCACCTCCTCGAGCCATGACCTGATGAGCGTTTCCATCCTGTCCAACTGTGGCTCAACAAGCTTAGCATCAGGAGTAGTTTCCCTCTGGCATAAGTCTAGGATCAGCTGATAACAACAACAAAATAACAACAGATTGCTTACATTATTTTACTCTTTGAAATTAACAGTGATTGTGATATTTTCCCCTGCAGGATGATTACTGTTATATTTTAACGCCCAATTATTTATTGCCCTTTTCTAAGCAATGCCTTAAAAAAAGGTGCCTACCCGTGCTCTAAGGCCCAGTGTGAGCTGGGCTCTCTGCCGTCTGGTAAGTAGCTCAGGAAGGATCTCTGTAACCATCGACACAAATTCCTCCAGGATGCCGTAGTCAGAAACAACCTTCTGCTGGACGGTTTGCCAGACTGCAGCGGAGGCCAGCCTTAGCGGTGGGATCAGGAGACGAAGAGCGGAGAGGGGAAGTAGCATCTGTTTACCTGAAAGTGAACAGATGCTGCATTCAACCTGAGGATCATTGTTTTACTGTTTAATTAAGAACATGGATGCATTTTCAAAAAATACCAAACAAATAAAATGAGCTAGTGATGTGGTTATTTAATGAATCCAGCTCTTCAAAGAGTTTAGTGCAGTTTGTGACTTTTCCAATGACTATAGTCTCCTTCCAGACAACTATGTCTTATAGTTGACAAGAGAAATTATCTTTAGAAGAAAGAATGACAGCTTTTCTAAGAGTTATAGTACATCTAAAAGAACAAGACTTCTGCAATAATATGCTTTGGATTGGCAGCTGCAGGAAGGAGCTTGACACCTTTGAGACACTGAGTCAAGGACAAACCAATTATGCTATTGTTAAATAAGAGGCTAGAACAACTTGAACAACTATTGATTATTGACAGGAGAATAATCTCACACAAGACCCATTGGGGGTGAGACTCACCCATCTTAGTGTCTTTACACATTCTCACTCCATATTCCCAATTTCTCACACTGAAAAACGACAGACATTAAAATTCAACTCCGTTCCACTTATTTATGTATAAAAATACCGTTGTGATCAAAATCCAATCCGTGTTTTTAATACAACCTTAGTGCTAACACACAGACTTGCCAGGTTCATATCCAGTCTGCATTCCATCCTATTAACTGTGTCAGATATTGAAAAAGACAGTTGTTAAGAGGTATGTCATTTTAATTTGTATCTAATCTCATCTGGACTAGGATAATTCTCTTTGAAAATTATTGAAGATTTTAAGCAATCTAGTACTTGAGTAAATATGAATTAAAGTACAGCAGCTAGCTTAAGTTATTGATTTGAAGACTGGTTGTAGGATAAAATCCAATTGTTTGTTTTTTTCTTTGCCTAGTGCTTTTTTAAGTCCCAGTTATAGTCCATGTTTTTCCTAAATTCCCATTGGAATTTAGGAGTAATTAAACCAACACAAATATTTTAATTCTTAAAGCTTTCAGGTTTGCCTCTCAAACCCATAGGTCCACAAAAAGGAAAATAACATTGCATTTTATTTTTCAAAAGATCAGTCACCCAAGAAAAGACCAACCACATTCAGAGAGGATGTGGAGAACAATTCGTTTATCCTGGATTCATAGAGGAGAAACCACAGGGATGTTCTTCTTTTATTATTACTTATCATATTAATATATCTTTATTTTGGTCCATTTCCATCGCACCTTTCAAACTGCAACATCCAGAGAAGTGCCGTCTCCTGTCATGGTTAGTTTTTATAAAATCTACAGCCTCCTAGAAGGTCTAAATTGTTTACCTGTTTTGTCAAAAAAAAAAAAAAAAACTAATAGAATAATGAATGAAGCTTTTTAATCCTCAGCCTATTACCAAATATTCATACACAGTGTAGTTTGCATAGGTTTCGACTGCACTGGTTCCTGAATCAGTGCCAGTAATAGCTTATTAGTTCCCCATTGTTTAATTTACTTGAACTGCAGAGAATAAATAATGAACAAAGTTGTGAAATTGTTAGTTGAAAGTATATTTAAGATGCAAGTATTTCAGTAGGGCCCTTTCTGCTATACTTCAATTTTCTAAACATTACAAGAATGTAGAAAATAATGTATATTGTGAGAAAAATGTTCCACATAACTACAGAACACTTATTTTTACTCAGTAACATTTACTGTGCTACAATAATTCCACATGTTGCTGCTTTGTTTCAGTTAAATCCTCTAAAAAACTCCAACCTGTAGCTGCACCTATACTCATCTAACCCTGGGAGGGTTTCATGACCGAACTATTTTAAAATCTCACCCCAAGGTTTGGTGAAATGTTGGTAGCCCTGAATACTAGTAACTATTAGTTGTTAAATAAGATGAAAATTTTTTATTTCATTTTTTTTTTATAAATAATTATAAACATATACTCACATCTACACCTTACAGTAGCAGAGCTTTAGAAATTTGGTTTGAAATTGAGACATTTCCCAATCTGAAACAGGCTGGTCAAAGTTTAATTAGGATGCTTTACACTAAATATAAAGCTTTTTATATGACTCTCTTAATATAAAAAGCTAATTACACAAAGCTTCGGACCACATTTAGACAGTAAAAAATCGGAAATAGATTTTACCTTTAATTTTAGCTTTAGCAGTTAGCATTCTACAGCATTATCTAGCAGCAAAGCTACGTCTGCTAGCTAAACTTCTGCGCATACGCTGGCTGTAACTTACCCGAAGAGTGGCACAAACTTTCCTTAGAAGTATTATCTTCCATGCTGCTTTTGGAATTATACTTCATTTAATAAAAAAAATAGACATATATACTGAACAAAATCCCTCGGTTATTTTTAGAATGCAGCTTTGTCCGACGTTTAAATCTGTCCGTGTTGCCTTGTGCTTTGATAAATCTTTCCGGGGTTAATATTTGTTGAAAATGTTTTAATTCTACTCAGAGAGAAATTAAAGGGTTTACGTTTTTTATTTGTAATTATATGAAATCTATAAATGCTCAGTATTTAAAACAGTTTTTTTTTTTTTTTTCAAAATAATAACCTCTATCATCTTGCCTAATATGACTGATATCTGGCATTGGAAGACACGACTAATGCTTTTTCTCACCTGGGAGAATGTGATAAGTTTGTTGGCTCCACATGCATTAGTGATCTCAATACTGCCATAATGCTAGACCATTTTAAGATCATCACATAGTAGGGATGGAAAAAAAAAAAATATTTCTTTCAGTGTTTAATGTTATACATGCAATCGCACCCATCTGCTGCCAAAGTTCAACAAGCTCTGCACCGGTGGCAAAGGAGTGGATCATCCTGAAACCTAAAACTGATGTAATGTGATGAACCCTTCTCAGGTGAATGATTGTGAACACAGTCTTTTTTTAAGCAACTATTTAGCTAAAATGGTGCTTAAATCTTTTAACTATTTGCTTTAAACTTAAAAGTAACATGTTCAACTTTCTGTAGAAAAAGTGATTTTATGATGATTAAAATCTGGGAATCACATGATTAACCTAACCTAATGGGTTCAAATTGTACCTTTTTATCTTCAATCCTCAGACTGAAACATTTTCAATGAATTTATTTTTCCAGGTTACAATGTGCAGTCAGAAACAAAAACTCTTGGATTAAAATAAAATGTAAATCTGTCAGGAATGTGAATATTTTCTCGAGGCAATTTAAAAATGAACAACGCTTAAAATTCTCTGGACTGTTTATTGGAATCAGCAACAAAAAAAAAAAATAAATACATCAGCATCTAAAAGATGGAAACTTTCTGTAGTGAGGCTTCACATACAGCACATAAGCTTGACTTTTGGCATAAAAAAAACAACTTTCTGAAATAAACAAGCTTGGCAATATAGTTTAATCACATGTGACATGGTGTGCTTAATGAAAGTAGCATGTGAAAAAAAAAATCATTTACAGAAATGAGTTAACTGGTCTCTTTTTACACGTCTTTCCTGTGTTCGCTCTTCATAAGCCTTTAATATGGAGAGTTAAAATACAGAAATCCGTTCCGATAAAATCTGAACAAACATATTTGGATTTGTTTCGTTTTTTTTCTTCTTTTGGACAAAGTATTGAGATGTATTGCATTTATATTTCAGGAGGAACTTTACAATCAGGAATGTAAAACTTTAAAAAGAGGGAGGAAAAACATTAACATTTTAAAGGATTCAACAAATCTTCCAAATTATTTTATGAAAAACATGTTTTCATTGTAAATATTACAAAGTTTATTATCCCAGTACAAGAAGTCCATTTTATTAACAGACATTTCCTAATCTCAGCAATTTTACATCTTCGCCTCTTACCTGCCAATTAAACACTTACATAGAAAACATGAACTGCTTTTCTCCCTTTTATACCAAGCAATAAAAAAATGTTAAGGCAAGATGCTTCAAACAGAAATCTGCAGTCCACCAATTCAGAATCGAGAGGGGCCGTCAGCAGCTCCAGAGCATCTCTCTGTCTCAGGCATCTTACACTGGAGAGGAAGAGGAGGTGAAGGAGAGAGGGGACGTGGTTTCATTGTAGTTATTCGTTTTTATTTTTTTTTTTAGATCTTTGTCTCCAAAGATGTCCCATGCTTTTCCTCCTCTCCTCGCTCCTAATCTGCTGAGACGCTTCCGTTTGGCGCTTAGGCTGGCAGACTCAGCTTCTTTCCTTTAAGTACTGAAACCAGACAGAGCAGAAGGGTTAGGGCTGCCAGCAGTGATCAGAACGATAACACAGCCTTTGGTTTGGTTGATCTGCTATGAAAGAAAATACAAGCAAAGTTTTATAAAACTCAAGCAGAACCAATGAAATCTGCCAAAAAATTACATTAGTACATCTGATCGCGCACTTTTTTAAATAACTAACTTCAGGATGTTTGACCATCTAATCATAGACCCGATTCTTGGGCGCATCAGATGTTTGTAAATTGAGCTTCTCAGGAGTGACAGTCAATCACACAAGAGAGGACAGAAGGCCAATCAGAAGCTTGTGGGCGGTCTAAACTCAGGGAAGTGTGCTTCAGCTTGAGCTGCGGTTTTCCACTAGGTCCTATTGTGCGACAAATGTCCGTTTACTGCACGTTTTACAGTTTTTTATTTTAGGACAGTAAGGGCAGACTATACTTCTGCAACCGCACACATCAAATGTGGCTTGGGTCTAGTCGCAAACTATTCGAGAACTCGGTCACGAGAACTTGGGCGGAACTTGAGTGTTTATCTTCGTCTGCAAGAGATCACGGTCACAGAGATGGATCTAGATTTGCTAGACATTGAAGAGGAAAAGGTTCTGTTAATGGAGTTGGCAAAAAGGCCGATAAACCTTTCGGCGTAGTTGTTCAATGTATTTGTTCTTTGTTTTATAAAAATGGCGGGCCCCGGCACAGGATCCAAAAGGACGACCACACAGACAGCGGGATAGGCATAACAAGGACCAATCACAGCTGCTTTTTTGTCTGCACATTTCCGCTTGAGGTCTGCGTAGGTTTGCGATCGTGTGTTGTCAGGATTTTTTTGAGCTGCGCGAAGAAGGATGCAGAACCTCTGTGCGGGGGGCATGGTCGTGCACAGAGACAGATTTGACGGTTGCAGAGGCTATGCGAAGCATAAATTGGCCTTAAAACGTGCAGGGGACATGTCCCCCTTCCCAGATCACGTCCATGTGACCACGTAAGAACCCTAAATATTTAATGCAGAACAATTAAAATAAATTAAGATTCAAATTTTTCTGTAAAAATGTTAAGTTCTCACCTTTTGTTACATACAAATAGAAGAAATCGCAGTAGAGGATAGTCTGCACCACTCCGGCCACAATGGCAATCATATCAAAGAATCCTTCAAAGTAGAACCTCCATATCCAGTTGATGAGGTAGAGGGCCCTGTAGAGGCCTAGAAAGAACAGATAATGGGTGGTGATGGTCTCCGCCTCTCCTGTTTTACTGATCATGAAGAGCTGTGGGAGGATGGCCACAGACTCCAGGTAGATGGAAAATGTCCACAGGATCTAGGGAGACAAAAAAACACCACTGCCATTTAGGTTAAATACCTGACATCTAATCATATTTTTATTCAAGTAATAGTAAAAAGTAGCCTACCGAAAAAACACTCAAAAATATAAATGTTTTATTGGAAAAAGGGCTACTAAAGTACTGAGTTAGATCATCAGCAATTCTGGTATTTTTAAGACTAGAATAGAATATTTGAACAAATCATTTATTAAACAAAAATAAGAAAAAGACAGAAGAAGCACTTTACTAAACCACTTCTCTTTTCAACATTAAATAATTTTCTAGTAACCATATTTACTCCTTTTAATATATTACTTGAAATCTAAAAGCATCTTCAACAGATGTGTAAAATAAACCCACCTCTGGGTTTAAGTAAAATTATGAATAGAAATACTGAGTATATTAGTAGAAATCTCTGACCTCCAGAGGAGAGAAGTCATGGTTGACCAAGAAAGCCAGCCCTCCCACAGGGACCACCAGGAACTCCACTCTGAAGGTGTCATGGTTGCCATCATAGGTCGCCTTGAACTTCATGTAGATCAGGTAGACGGTGGCATAAGCACACCCGATGTAGATGATCTGCAGGACGACAGTGAGGATGCTAGCTTAACGTAAACAGTACGACAGGTTGGATGAGACGGATCATCCTTCAGCAAACACAGGTGTGTTAGTTAGAGAGGGAGAAACACCTCAGCACTACGTGCTCCTGCCTGGAGGGAATTGCTGATGGTGCAGGGATTTACCTTCATGGTGGTGTTGTAAAGGGAGATGAAGGCTGTGAGCAGGTCCAGGTAGCGAGTGGTGAACACCAAGGCAAACAGGACCTGACTCTTTCCAGAGATACCTGCAAGCAGACAGCAGAGGGCAGAAACTGGAGGTTAGGCGAGCTTCTTTCTTTTAATAGTTAATGAATTCCGGGATTTAGAGGAAGCCTGTCATCTTCTCTTTCATTTAATTTTACAAAAAGAAAAAGATCTTTTGATTCAATCATTTTAACACCTACAAGATGTTCACTGATAAAGCACCAATGTCAATAGTCTTCATTTATTTTCATTTAATATTGGGGATGTAGTTGTTCTAACCCTTTGCACTGCATAATTCAAAAGTGGAAAAAGAGTAAATTCATTTATTTGTCATGATTAGCTTTAACAAGCTATAATTAGAATAGTTTTATAACCTATTTTGCTGAAAGTCTCTAAGGATAAATCACCAAGAACGTTGTATTTGATCCAGAAACCAAATGTTGCCCATTCAAATGGATAGGGAACATCTTTGAGGAGTGGAGGTTCAGTTTTGCCGCAGATTCTCTATAGTATCCAGGTTTGGCCATCTTGGATTTGGATGAGTCTTGCTGGGAGGTGAACTTTCACCTTTTTTCTGTCATAAATACGCTGCACTTAGCCCCACATATTATTCCAACAACTCTAATCAACTTTCTTGTCTAGGCAGAGGAAAAGCATTGCAGTTGTACTATATCCTTTCCACATTTAGATGAAGGATTACACAGAGCAGGCAATTTAAGGGTGTTCTCACAAATGTTTAGTGCACGCAGTAGTGCGGCTCCAAATGTTAAATTAATACATCTTTTCATTTTTCCAGTTACTACAGTTGCTTTCACACAAATTTAGTGTCGCTCTGGACCAAACACTGCAGTACTTGGAGCGTGTCATGTCTCCATGACGACCGGTTGAAATCCAGAAACACTGCTACTGAAAGAGTAACAAGAGATAAATGGAAAAAACTTCCATTACGGAGACTGAGGTACACCGGTTATTAGTAGCTCTCACCTTTATTTTTCTATATGGTTTGCACGTACAACTATTGGCAAAAGATTGTGCTTGAAAATTAATCTACCGCTTGAAAATAAGATGCTGATGCTCTGGGTACAAGGAATGCAAACCTCAGCCCAGTTCAGGAGAAGGCACAGATTAATGCTACTCAAAAAGCACCGTGAAATCTTCATCTGGCACAGGTTATCTATGCAATATATTATATTATCGCACCAGAGTACAGTTGTTTTCAGACATAAACCAGTGCGCACCAGAGTTGGGCCGGAGCTACCACCTCTTCAGGCCACAATAGTTTCATACTGACCCAAAGAGGACCAAATTTAGGTCGATCTAAATTTAGAGGGACCTAAAGCTGCAGGTGTGAAACACCTAAAGTATGCAGTGAGGTTTTCTGACCAACAGATTTTCCAAGCCCTGTTTTATGTCATTCTCTGCGTACAATCTCTAAAGACACTGTAAAAGAAATAAAAAATTATGAAAGAAAATTAAATCAGTGGTCATTTTTTCAGTTACTTTTATATTAAAGGCACTGTTCATCATACAAGCACGATTATCTGATATGTAGATAGGTGACAACATATCAGGAAAAAAATTTTTTTTTAGTAAATACTAACTTTTTAGACCTTGACTGTGATGTATTTGTTTCTGGGTCGCTGGAGTTTCAACAAGACTGACTTCCAATGATGAAGAGCCAGTGTTGTGAATCATATGCAACTAGCAGTGAAAACACAGAGATGCAGGGAAACAATCTGTAACCTTTGATCAAAACAACAAAAAAATATGGAAACGCAGCAAATTGCCTCTGCAGCAGCATCCAAACCGTGGACCCAAGCATTGACTGTGAAGGCCCGCTGCCACGTCACAGAGCAAACAGAGCTTTGTGGAGGAACGTGGAGGCTCATTCATTGTTAGTGAATAAGTGAAGTTTAAAAAAAGGGGCCTTAGGTGTCAAACTAACACACTAGAGGAAGCACCTTCAGCTGTCAAACCATAACAACCCATTCTGGTCTAGGCGTCCATTCCTGTGCTCTAATGCTCTTCACTGTAGAAGTGTCGGCATGGAAGGACAGATTTACAAACAGAAACTGGAGCTTTGCAACACTATTAGCAAGTAAGCTAACGTTAGCTGGGAGCTATAAGTAAGCTTTAACTAGGAGACTGAAAACTACAATTATTTTAACGATAGAAATTAATGAAATGTTTAAGCGGTCTAAATAAAATTAAAATAAATGTACTCACCGGCACAAGACCTGGTTTTCCATATTTTTAGCAACAGAATGATGATGGCTGCTAAGTGGGACAGGTCGCCGGTTAGCCTGAAGATGTTCATGTTGGAGGAAGCCCCCTCAGTAGCCGACCTATCTGAAAGCTCTTAGATGAACTCCGTTACTGTCCGGAAACAGTACCCCCCTTCTTCCACCTGTTTAAGGTGTGAGCAAACGTGACGCTAGTAAAAAAATAGGGGTTTTGGCTCGGGTAAAGAGGGGAAAATGGCGAGTGGAGAGCGACGTGGCTAGGAGACGTGGCCAACACACAAGCAGCCAATGAAAAGCGAGAAACGGAGGGCTGTCAGCCAATCAAATTGAGCGCCCGGTCTAATTTACATAATTTATGTCAGGGCCCTGTCTTCCGGTTTAAAGGGAACTGAGTTTTCCAATCACCTCCTAACTTCATCTCTCTTGGACTTGACGTGTCATTAGGATACGTGTAGAAATGATCAAGGATGGTCAAATAAAGTAAATCTTTGCGGTGCCGTTTGTAAAGTTAAGGAGTCAAAAATTAGGAGAAATGTTTATGGTTATTTAGCGTGTTTTAAGAGAAAAATAAGGGGGTCATTTTTTCACTATGTCATTCATTCGTTTATAAAAATCTTACTTTTTTAAATAAATACTTAGTTTGGAGTTAAATATCCATATATCTAAAACAATGGCTTGGATATGTGGATGACACATTTGTCAAAATCCAGCTAAAAGAAGTGGAAGCTTTCATATTAAGTCACAACACCAAATTCACCAGAGAAAGTGGCGGTTCTAGACCAAATGTACCAGGGGGCCAGGAGGGGGCCAGCGTGTTTTCATGGGGGCACAGAAAAGCATGAAATAAAACAGAGCAAAGGATTCAAATATATTAAGACAGCTGTGTGAAGAGAAATTTCTGTTAAATTAGGTTTAATTAAAATTATTTTTCTTATTAGGTCAATATACATTAATAATTTACACAATTTTACATATTTTTGACTTAATTTAAGTTAAAACAGTCATTTACTATAGAATCTGAATTAGAACTCAAGAAAAAATGATACATTCAGCTCTAAAAATTAGAGGGTTTTTTTGTTTTGAAAAAACATTTAGCAGATGAAAACTGGGATCCTATGTCAATACCACTGAATATATCACCTTATTGTTTTTAATCAATTGGTAAAACAGAATTTGTAAAAAAAAAAATAAATAAAAAAAAAAATGAAAAAGATCCAAAGCACCAATCAGTAACTATGTCTGTTCCAGCACATATCATCATTAGAACTTCTTTGAGTATTATGTCTTCAGTACAGATGCCATAACAGGGGCCAGGACATGATCGACAGGGGCACTGGCCCCCGTTGGCCCCTGTCTAGATCTACCCATGACAAGAGAGGATTCCAATGACAACAAGCTACCCTTTCTGGACTATTTGGTGAGCATGGAAGGAGATGAAAACCTCTACATTGAAGTGTATAGGAAATCTGAATCATACAGACCAATATCTTTTTTTTACTCACACCAACCACTGGAACACAACTTTCAGTCATCAGAACCTTACAACACCAGGCAGAACATGTCCCTACAAAAACAGAAGGGAAGCAGATGAACAGAAACACATCAAAGATGCTCTGCAAACTTGTGGATACCCAAACTGTGCGTTTGTCAACTCAGCAAGGAAAGCCAAAAGACACGCAGCAGAACATAACGGTGAGAAGATTTAACGCAAAAACATCACCATCCCTTATGTTGCTGGAGTCTGTGAAAAACTCAAAAGGATTTTCTTCAAACACAAAATCCCAGTACATTTCAAACAAAACAAGACCCTTAGACAGAGACTACTGGATCCTGAGGACAAAAGCCTGAGACCTGCAATGAGCGGATTTGGTGTATGCAGTTCAATACAGTGAGGAATGCTCTGATCTTTATATTGGAGAAACCAAACAACTTCTTCACAGACGCATGGCCCAACACAGAAGTGCGACCGCATTGGGACAAGGCTCTGGGATACATCTACATTTTATGGACAAAGGACATTCTTTTGAGGACCAAAATGTTCACATTTTGGAAAGGGAAAGGTGTTTTGAAAGGGGCATGAGGGAAGCCATCTATGTTAAGAAAGAAAAAACAACCTTTAACAGAAGGGGTGGACTCAGATTTCAGCTTTAAAAAACCTACAATGCAGCGATTGAGTTGATCCCTTCCCGCTATCATCGCAACCCCAACCCCTTTACAGTCTATAGTATATGAGTATATAGTCTATAGTATACTTTAGTCTCTGAATTCAGACTTTTTTTTCCTCAGAATGATGACCTTAATTTCAGAAATGTGACCTTAATCTCAGAATTCTGACTTTAATCTCAGAATTGTAAATTTAATCTCAGAATTTTGACTTTAATCTGACAGCTAACAAACATGTTAGCATCAAGTCGTAGCCATGTCTGTCACCTTCTGCTCTTCCATTAATGAAATAGCATCACCAGGGACCCCTCGGGCACGTAAAAAGTTGCCTAATTCCGTAATTTTCCACCAATGTGTGGCCCTCCCAAACAACTCACATCTTTGTCAGTGAATCTGAGTGCTCCAACATCTCTTCCTTAATGGTGCCCATCTACATTCAGAGTCAGAATTCTGAGACTAAAGTCAGAATTCTGAGATTAAAGTCGAAAGTCTGACTTTTTTCTCATATTATACTGAAATAAAATAAAAAAATCAGTTAATTCTTTTATTTTTTTTCATTGGCCCTATTTCTCTTCTGTATATACGTCTACCCATAGATCACAGAGAAGTAAATACCACACCTTTTGCAAATGAGCCTTAAAAATTAGTCTCTCTGCCGAGGGGACTGAGTTATTTTGGACTTCAGGGGGGCTGTTGAAGAACTTTTATAAATGTGGCCACAGCCGTCTTGTATGGTGGATATTAATGGGAGCAGCAGCTTATCAACAGCTCATCAGGTAGTTTGACAGGAAGAAGCACTCACATCCTTGGCGCACAAAGGAGCGTCATCACAGATATTTCCTCCCCACTGTTGTACTTTGTAACCACCACTGCTCCCAACAAATAAAAGTGTTATGTGATCACTTCCTTGCCATTTCTCAATTTTTTTTTAAATAAAAAACACAAAATACAAATCAATAAATGCATTGTTTTTATTATTTTAATTCAATAAAACAATCCAACTATCATGGCACATTTTCAAATAGTGGTTTGGCAACATCTCAAAAGCTGTTAACAGGAAAGCATCTATGATTTTTCTTAGCTGTAAGTTCCAAAATCCATTCAGCTGGATGAAATACCTTATTAGGCCAAGCATGTTAGTGGAAGGACCTAAAAGTATTTCCTTATCTCAGTGTTTCCTACCCATACAGTGACGGCCAGAGTAACAGAGAGGATAGGAGGTTCTGTGTCTGAAGCTTTTTGCAGTCTTTCCAAAACAGATTGCCTTTTATGTCTATAAGCAGCGTTTTCCAGTTATCAATAAGCACATTCTGACCATCTAAAAAGAACAGTGTCTAATCTAAATAATCACTAGAAAAATACAGAGGTATGCACCCAAAACAGCAAGAACAAAAGTTTCTGAACTGATAAAAAAGTATCTCAAAATATCCAAGGAAGTGGAGACAATCACAGCTATAGATCTCACTGCGCCTGAAACCAACATATACAGAGAAAAGCGAACTTTTTATCGGTTAAAGAATAAATCCGAAGCGCTTTAAAGGACACCTTAATTGGCATTATATTACGGCAGGTTCTCATTTATTTCTGCTGAACTTTCACTGTCCATAGTCAGCAAATGTAAATAATTCCACAACAAACACCCACCCTGTACAAAAATTGAATTAGACATGTCTCCAACTGAATTCCCACCACCATTTTTTAATGATGTAAACATTTAAATATTACAAGGAAACACTGGTACCCGACTTTACAGATGTAGACTAACAGCACAATGATATGTTAGAGGAGAAAATCTTCAGTAGTCATGACGGCCACCCATTTTTATTCTTTATTGCTTAAATAGATGAGGTATCAGGATCCTGAAGGTCTGAACTGCAGCACTTGAGCTTCACCTCCGACTCCCCATCTCCACCAGTCAGACGCCAGAGGCTGTAAGAACGACGCAATGCGCTAAAATCCATAAGAAATAAAAAAATTTAGGTTTATTCCTTCACAGCGTTTCATTTTCCCTGAGGAGAATCTTCCTCTGATGCCTTGAGAACAAAAACGGCATCGTCCAGCACATAATAGTCGTTATACATATCGCCTTCGCAGAGGTACGGCAGTCGGGTAACAGCCTCCAGCTCGAACCCGACCCGCTGGAAAACCTCGCTGCAAAGATTTGTCACTTGCTCCTCCCACGTCTTTCCTGCGATCTTAAGGTGCTCTTTTGGACGCTCCCACTTCCCTCCTGAGAGAAAGAAAGACTGGAGATGAAATCAAAACTGTTAATACAGACGCAAAGTGGAGAAAATTTTATTTTCTACTGACCGACTTCAATGTAAGGCTGGAAAGGAAGCACAGCAGCCAGAACCAGTCTTCCTGTCTTGGGAATCAAGGAGCTCCTGATGTCCCGCAGGAGAAGCAGCGGATCATCGCAGCGATCCAGCAGGTTCAGGCAGCTGATCACATCATACTGGAAACCAGTATGCTGCCACTCATCTATACCTAGCAGCCTGTGCACAACACAGGTATACAATAAAGGGAAATATATTTTGAGAATAAATTCATAACTTTATCAGAATAAAGTCGTAAAATTACGAGAATAAAGTCGCAACGAGAATAGTTATAAAATTATGAGAATAAAGTTGTCACCGTATGAGAATAAAGTCATGAAATTTTGAGAATAAGATCGTAACACTACGAGAGTAAAGTCATAAAATTACGAGAACAAAGTTGTCAAACTTTAAGAATAGTCATGAAATTTTGAGAATAAAGTCGTAACGCTACGAGAATAGTCATAAAATTAAGAGAATAAAGACGTAATATTAAGAGAAAAAAAGTCCTAAAATTACGAGAATAAAGTTGTATTTTATGACAACTCTTACAAGAAAAACTTTCTTCCGTAAAATGAGGAATGTTGAGCATCATATGAAGTTATACTTTGGCATCGGTTTGACAAGTAATTAAATCTTTTAGCACATAAGCATCAAATTGTGCAGCATATCAAAGTGGACTCAGGTTGCTGTTCTGTGCTGCAGGTCGGCCGTCATATGCTGGTTTCAAGTCAAAGGTTTCTTTCTGAAACTGGTTGTTGTATGATGACTTAATTCTCGTAATTTTACGACTTTACTCTCGCAATGTTGCTTCTTTACTCTCGCAATGTTGCAACTTTACTCTCGCAATGTTCTTTTACTCTAGCTTTTAGTCAGTTTTAGTTGTATATTCATCCCAAAATCTGCATCTACTGCAGGACATTTGAAACCAATCGTTAGTTCAAATGCAATATTTCTGCTATTTTACTGTAAGGAAATCATGTTATGAGTTCTGGTTAATATCATTACAGATTTGTTCTGTATTTTACTTAAAATCAAGAGGAATATTCGGCGTTTGTTTTCTCCATCTATCATTGTGTAAATGACCAAGATCCCTTAAAAGCCTTAATTGTAAAATCTTAGACGTTTCTTATCTCACTGACGTGTAATTCCTTCGCTGGAGATGCCACTTCATTGGTGGGGAGACCTCAGTTGCATAGACCTCCCTAAAGTGGACCCCCATGACCTCTGTGACTCCTCCATCCCCGGCTCCAAGGTCCAGGAGCCTCTCTGCCTTCCAGTCCGTCCCGATCCGTAGCAACTGCTGGAACTGGTTGGCAGAAAACACAAACATGGATCCCCGGCCCAGAAACCTGAGGCAGAGATACGGTCAGTTGGGGAGGCAGTATAAAATAACTGAGTTTGAAACCAAAGAAAGTCTCCAACACTCACCCGTTAATGGAGGTGCGTGAAACCAAAGGACTGAGGACGCTTGATATCAGAGAGTGATAAAGTTGTGTGAAAAGCCAACTAGACTTCTCCTGACTGCGCTTGAGAAATGCCTTGGTGTCAGAGTCCAGGTGGCTCTGGACAAACAGCGGGCGAACGGGTTCTCCCAGCAGGTCGGGACAGACCCTATACCACTAAACAAAAACAGGAAAAAACCAAGACCTTAAATAGGGAGTTAGTTTAAGTGAAAGAGTAAATGACAAAAGAGTAAATGTTGCTCATTACATGGCCAAAAAATGCAAATGGGTTATATATATTTTTACTGCAGGCAAAGCTAAATTCAAAAGACCCAAAACAAAACAGAATTAATGTGGATTTCCTCAAGGCTCCATTCTAAAACTAGGCTTTTCTGTGCTACTGGAAGTCACAGGAAAAGAAAATCAAGTCATTTCATTTTACTTTTCTATTCAATGGTACAAAACAGAAGTAAACTCTGGTCTTTAAAGGGTTCTAAATTATTCAAATCTAGTCTTTAGTGTAAAAAAAATACATCAGATCCAAAAACAAAAGAGGAAGAAATAAAGTTCATCCATTTTTCTTACACATTTAAATCCAGCCAGACCACTGACATCATTATTAAGTGTTTACTTGGGAATTAATGTGATCAAACAACAAAAAGAAGCAGATCATTGAAAAATGAATGTTAATATTAGCTTTTTTTAAACAAATAAATGTGTATCTGTATATTGCACATACACTTTAATACCTCTTAGTGAAATTCAATTCTTTCTTTAGAGTAAAAAAATGTGCATAGCCTTATGTCGGTATGACTCCAGCTGTTCTATGAGGACTTCAGAGGTTTGTTAGAGAATATTATTTTATAAGAAGCATCGGAAATACTCAGAAAAAACATTTGATTAATCAGGTGTTAAGATGTGGAGAAAATCAAAACAGCCGCAAATGCAGATTTAATTTGCTAATAAAACATTTTTCTGTAGAAACATTAACCGAAGACAATTATGCACATGTTGTGAAGGGCATCCGCAGCTCTGGTTACAGTGCGATCATTAATACAATCATCTAGATCACACGCTGCATTACTATAATTGTAATAACTAAAGGGACAACTCTTTGGCACTGAGATGTTGGTTCTTTTTCTATGGTCAATATAAATATAGTTGGACCAAAGCAAAATATTGCGTTTTACAAAAATATTGTTTATTTTCTTTGGTAGTAAATTTCTATTATAAATAGCTCTGACCTATTATTAATGAAAATGATTGGTTTTAAAACATTTTTTCCCCCCAGTGTTGAGATCACAGATCTATTAGATGAAAACTGTGATCTATTCTGAAAATTACTGAAACTAAAATTGTATTGCTTTAATATTTAAATCATAGTTAAAACAGAAACGTAAAAAATATGTTCCAGAGACAGTTCAGTTAAGTTGTCTGTGTTAAAGCATGACAGTATAAGATTTTTTTTTTTTAGTATCATTATGTTTTCTGGCTGCAATAGGGGCCATTGGCCCCTGTTGGCCTCTCTCTAGAACCACTCTTGCCTAGGAGTAGCAGCTGTACTCTATAATCAGAGAGTCTGTCACAGAGTCCAGAAATGCATTCTAGGGCTTAATGGCGATTAATCGATTACTGAAACAATCGTCAACTAATTTAGTAATCGATTAATCATTAACTGGAGTATAGAGACTCTAAAACATGCCTTTAGCTGACAGAGCGACCCACCTTGAGAAGCAATTATACCAAAATTTTGAAAAAATTGGAAAAAAAATTTGCATTTTAGATCAGAGTTCTTCAACAGGGGGCCCTCCACTAAGGGGTTCACGGAGGTACTGCATGGGGGTCGCAAAAGTTTTGGTTGATTAGACTTTTTTTATATCCTCCCCTGCAATTTTTTCCACTAATGAAAATGTATTTAAATACACATTAACATGAATTCAACACACTGTAGTAAACAGATAAATGGAGGCAGACGATGTCTTTCAGTCATCAATGCACACATTCAGCGACACACAGGAACTCTTCCAAGCTGGGCACCGTTTCATCCACCTGTCCCATCAACCAGGAATCAGAATCAGAATCAATATAAATACTTGGCCTGGAAAACGTTGAAGACCTTTGCTTTAGAGTAAAACATTTTTTTCATTTGTCAATATCTTCTATCCAGAACCCCTCAAGTGGAAAAGTTTTAGTTTCACAAGGTTTAATTTAGTAAAAAGTCTTCTTTAAGGAACCTCTGTCTATCCGATTATTAATCGATTAATACAAAAAAAAATCGATTTGCCAAATCATGGTGACTGGCAGCCCTAATGCATTCAATCCCTCCTCACCTCCTGCGGGTCAGCTGCTCCTGCCTCCCCCTCCACCATGCTCATGTAGAGCGAGCGGACCAGCGGACTGCGGATGTGCTTTCCTGTCCACATCCTCCTGATGGAGAGCAGGAAGGCCACGTAGCCCAGCACCCAGGCCACAAAAACCAGAGTCCTTAGCTGCACGGGACACATAATTGAAGAAAAGGGGAAAAAAAGATGTCTGAGAAGTGAAGCTGACAGAGAGCAGCTGCCTCCTTCCAGGAGAAGTTCACACAGCGGCCAGAGAGGTTTTCGTTAATAATAAATGGTGACAGAACAGAAGGAGGAGCACACCGACATGTCTCCGCTTTCAAAACAACAACTAAACAAACCTGAGGAGGGCGAGGTGGGCTTAAGGAGCCCTGCTACTGCTTAATTCTTCTTAATCTTCAGAAAATAAAAAGTCATTGTGTGCTGATAGAGAACAAACACTGTCATGCTTGGTTTTTAAGCCGCACGAGCCTCTGCCCTAAGAGAAAACAAAAACAAAAGAAGTACTTCCGGGTTGTGCACTTCCTGACCTGCGCTAATAGGATGCGCATAGGTAAGCTGACAGGAGCAGCACTGAAAAGTGGCAATTGAACCAAATAAATAAATAAAATTAATGAAAAACATATATTTCTCCTAAATTAAAATGTTGTTATCTTATTTTGCCTATGTTGTCTGCGGAAAAGGATTAGGGCCACTGAAAAAAATAAAGTTAACAGATTTTTAAATTTTATTTCAGTTTAATTTGGGAAAAAGTCAGAATTCTGACTTTTTTCTCAGAATTTTAACTTTAACTCAAAATTCGGACTTTTTTCCTCTGAATTCTGACTTTAATCTCGGAATTCTGAATTTTTCCCCATATTTAATTGAAATAAAATTTAAAAATCAGTTAACTTTATTTTTTATTTTTGAAGTGGCCCTAATCCTTTTCTGTAGTTGTCATTTCAGCGGGTGTTCGCTGCATTTCTCAGTAATGTTGATGCAGAAATTTAACCGAACTGATTCATATGAAAATTTTATCTCTAGTAGGAGAGAAATAAATAAATATTAAGGAGCTCACTCAATTCAGTTTTTAATCGACAGGTCTACGTTAGATTTAAGAATATAATAAGTGAAAATTCTCCCTTTTTCTTAAATAGAAGACAAACATGTTCTCCATTAATAAACATGCTCTCACCTACCAGAGATAATGATTAAACAAAAAACATGCTCTTTGTTTTTAAACCATATTTGCTCATTTAGACTACAAGTAAAACTGCAACAACTGCTCCTTGTGTTTTATTTTAGTGTGGCAGATTAGATTAGATTTTATGCTTAAATATTGTCAACATTTTCT